GGAGCCGTATATACTGATGCCTGAAACAGACTATGACAAGCACCCCCCATCCCTGAAAAAAAAAAATGGATTTATGGATTAATAGAGGAATGGGAAAATAGGTAGATCCTAATTTCAAAAACCCGTTAATCGTAGAAACTAAATGGTGGGTATTTGGATATTCACTATACAGTTCTCCCAACTTTTCTGTAAGTTTGAAATTTTTCATAATACCATGTCAGAGGGAATAAAAAGAAATGTATTAACTCTTAGGTGTAGAGATGTGGTTAGTTCCAGCAAATTGTATTTGTTGTGAAGATGTGAGCAAGTGATACAGCAGAAACTTCTGCTTCTGATTACGTAGTGTTTGGTTTCTTTGTTTGTTTTTAACTGGTGAACACCTATAGGTGCTAATGAAGAATCTGAAAATGGCAGGTATAATAGAATGAAACATTTGCTATTCTGGAACAGTGGTAATATCTGTATTAATATTGACATAAACAACTATAATATGCTGCCCCCTGTTAGATGGCAAGCCCTAGACCTGTCACTTTTATCAAGTCATTAATTTTTTTCTAATAACAGTGCTAAAAATACAGGTATCATGCTAAATGTACAGGAACCATTAGCTCTGCTTTATACAGATGAAAGACTGAGCTCAGAGAGGTCGAAGGCGTGCTCCTCAGGGTCACATATCTAGTAAAGGCTGGTGTCAGAATTCAGGCCTGACATGATGGACGTCAAAGTCTATGCAATTTCCACTTGACCCTCAAGGCTCAGTGTGTGGTTCTGGACAGCAGCCTCAGCCTCATGAGGAGCTGGTTGGAAATGCAGGACATCAGGCCTTATCCCAAAACTACAGAACCAGAACGTGCATTTTAACAAACCCACTGGCTGTTTCTGTACACATCAGTCTGAGCAGTGCTACACTGGACCATGGTACTCTGGATATTTGGGACCACGTCTTTATTTTTCTCTCTTTGTAATGTAGGACACCATAGGGTCTATGAAAATGGCATTTATTTTTTTCCAGAGGGGTAGCTGCAGTACTGAGCCTTATTAGCTTCCTTTCCAGCAGTATCAGAGTGGCGGCAGTGAATCAGAGCTCCTATTCCGATCACAGGACTCAGATGCCTGAGTTTGTGTCCCAGCCCTGCCTCTGGTCATCCGTGTGATGACGGTACTTAGAGCTCCCCATTAGTGTGTGACTCTATTTCTTCAACCATCAAGTGGGTGAATCAATTCTGGCTCTACCTGCCTCACAAAAAGGCCAAAGGTGCCTTTAAAGACAAACAGCTGGGCATGGTGGCACATGCCTATAGTTCCAGCTACTCAGGAGACCAAGGCAGGAGAACACTAGAGCCCAGGAGCTTAAGGCTGCAGTGAGCCATGATCCTGCCACTGTGCTCCAGCCTAGGCAACAGAGCAAGACCAGGTTTCTAAAAACAAACAAAAACGAACAGACAGAAGCATATCATGGTGCCAGGTTACTAATCCTTCACTCCTGTGAGGATCTCTGCAGCTCTTTCACTTGTGCTTTCTGGGGTTTCTATGGCTGAGGTGACTGCTGGGCCAAGGTTTCATTGTTCACAGATCCAGCAGTGTCCTTGCTGGGGCCCTCCCTGCATTCCGTCTGAGAAGAGGAGCTTCTTCAAGAGAGGAGGACTCGATATCAGACAAACATGTACAAAAACACATTGGCCTTAACAAAACTCACACTCTCCCTGCCTGCAGGACAAGGTCTATAGTTTAACGATAAAGACCATAGGTTGAACTATTCCTGTGAAGCATTGTATCCACCCCTTTACACACACACTACCTCCTTTAATCCTTGCAACTGTCTCAAAAGGTAGACATTTCCCCCCATTTTATAGATAAGGAAAACTGAGTCCTAAAGAAGTGAAATGGTAGAATTGAGGTGCACTCAACTATTGGGTTTAGAAAAGTGTTGCTTTTAATCAGATGTAATTTCCCAGAAAACTGTCCCATAACAATTGCAAAATCTCCCCCAAATTTTCATCGTTTGAAACAACTTTCTTTTTTTCTCCCAATGATTGTCTAGGACTCCAGGAAGAGAAAAGGTGACGAGTCACTCATGACTGAAATTAGCTTGTGAATTTTTGCTCTAAGCTAAGGAACAAGTATTGTGGTACAGAACACATTGTGTATGTCTTTTGTGTTTTCTGTTACATGAATTGAAGAAGAATGAGAATCAAGGTACCATTTTGAAAAACATTTTAAGGAAACAAAGTATGCTGTCTTCTGCAGTATGTTTTCAGCCAAGAAGTTGTCTTATTTTGATTTGTTAAAATATTTTTGATAGGTTGTCAAATTCTCATAGTTCTGTTTTATATTTTAGTGTTTGAATAAGATAGGCTCTACTTGGCTAACTTTCTGATAATAACCCATTTCCCATCTTTGTACCTCCGTGTGCTCTTTTTGGACAGATGCTTTTTGTGTGCCAGCTCTCACATCTGGGCTTCTCACTCACTGACATGCAGGAAAGGGATTTGCAGAGTTTCCAAGAGCCCATCCCTTGTCGTTAATCACAGGTAGCAATCTTCCCTGTACCTAGAATCAGCGTCAGTCTTGGACAAACGGTGACTGGAAGTTTGGCTTGATATTCTGCCCTATTCTTCCTTCCCATTTACACATGGGGTTCGGTGCACATGTGGATATGGAAAGTAAGCTCAGAGATGGGTCAAGAAACACTGGGATTTGGGAAGCATTGGAGAAGAGGGATTAGGAGCACTGGTTCAGGGCTCAGACCTGGGTGTTTGTCCCTGGATCTACCACTTGAGTAGATGTATGAGCATAGGCCTGCTTGTGCAAGCTTTAGTTTCCTTTACCTATTAAATAAGGGCAGTGATATATTCTATAACTATGACTCGATATCTGGACTTCAAAAATACATGTGTACAAAAACACGTTATTCTGAGGATTTTTAGGTACCGAATAAATAACATTACTACTATTTACTATTTAACAAATATTGTGAATGAGTGAGTTAGATGCAAGTAAACATAGATATCTGGTCTTCCAGGACATGTAATACTTACAAATGTCTGCAATGCAAGATGGCCAGCCTCAAGTAAAGGGTAGAGAGTGCATCACAATAGCAGCTCACAGGAGAGGCAAAACCGATAACTCACTGCTGGGATGACCAGGGAAGGCTCTGTGCTGAGGTTTCTAGACCTTCAGTGCTAGTCTTTTCTGAGCATTAAGGTAAGTAGTGAGAGTGTCTCAGTCAGAGAGAAGGGATTTGACTTTCAGAGATGAAAAAGCTCAAAACATAGTCAAAGAACCAGTAGTAGGTGCAGTAAGTCAGGGATCCCCTGTCAGAAATGCCTTTGAGACTGGCCAGGTTACCCAAGCAGTTAGCAGGATGACCAGGACCTGGCTCCAGCCAGTCACTTGCAGGCTCTGTATTGTTTCAATTATTCAGGAGATACAAGAAATCTGGCCTTAGACATACTAAGTTCCACTTGGTAAAACATGATGCTGGCCAAATTCAACATGTGTCTGGTTGACTCAGATTATGTGTGGTGAGTGTGTGACCATGGAGTGGACTTATGTCCAGTCACTGGGATCATGATAGGTGGAAAGGAGCCCTGGCCTGGGATCCAGGAGGCCCAGGATTAATCTGAGGTCTATGTCCTTGGACAGGCTTCTTACATGCTCTGTGCCTCAGTTTCCAGAAGGCACCTTGATGGGAGGTGTGGTTTACTAGAGCCCAACCAAGCCTTGTTTTTTGTTTGTTTGTTTGTTTCTGTAGACTAAAGAATGTACTCCTTGGGTTTTCAGGGTCTGAAGAATTATACTACGGACCTCTGCTCTTGTTCCTCCCCCTGCCCCACTGTATTTGTTTTATTGTTATGTTTCTTGTTCTTACATTTTGTAAAGGGGCTATTATCTAGGGATGAAAATGGATAAAACTTGTGTACATAAATTAGCATATGGAGACTTTGAGATGGAAATGTGCCAACTTCTTTCAAAGAGAAGTCCAGATAACAGGCCGCAAGATTGAGCAGCTTTCATGAGAACAGTAAAGAAAACAATTTCCCTCGGTGCTTACCACAGAAAGGAAGATAAAGGAACTGGAGGATGGATAAAAGTATCCAAAAAGCATAAAAGATGAATTGATGGGAAACACTGGTGTGACCACTCAAGGGGTCATGGGTGGAAAAAGTCATTCCATTAGAAAAAAAATAAACAGTGGAAAAAGAATGGAGCCATAGTCATGGAAAAAAAGTGAGATCACATTTAAAAACTTTCAAGATTGGCCTGGAAAAATCAGGCTTTATGAGTTTAACATGAGGACTCTATTCTTACCACCTGTGGAGAGTAATTGGCACTGGCTGACTAGAGGTTTGTTTTGCCTTCTTGGCAGGAGCTGAATTGTTATGTTAATAGTCTGCTGGCTAAGTGTTAAGTACTGTGTTTGAATAGATGGAGTTTTGCAGAGGAGAAAATTCCCAGTCCCAGGTTCCTATTCTGACCACTGAGTGCTTTACAGACTTCAGACTTCACACACTCAAATTCTAAGAAACAATTAGTATCATGGCCGATATTTCTAGCACTTTATGAAAATGAAAAGTTTCTACTAGGAAACTCTCCTGCAGGTGGTTCACGGCCAGACAGAGTGTATCCAGGCTCGGGTTTGGCCCCAAGAGCCCATTTGGAGCTAAAGAACAAATTTCATCACAGCAGCATTACCTACCTTTTCGTAGTTATCTATGCCAGCTCTTTTCCATTCACATTGGCTTCTCCTTAGAGGTCATTCCACTGATTTGGCTCTTAAAATATTTTAATTGTCCTTGAACAAGGTGAGCCCCCAAACCTCAGGGCACTCAGGATGAAATAGCTTAGTAGTCAACGCGTTATTAAAACGAACTTTTTCAGATTTAAGAATTATCAAGTCATCTGTTGGATGATTGGTGTGTCTTTTTTAGGAGGCAGCATCTCTCTACAGTCCTAAAACCGCTTTTAAAACAATCTTTCATGTGGCCTTTTGACTCTAGATTGCTGATTGCGGCAAGGTTGCTGATAAAAAACTAAAGATTGAACTAATTTACGGTAATTTGTGATTGACTTATGACCCCTTAAAAGTTTCAGATCTTTAGGGTTGCAGAAATAGATTGCTTCTTAATTGCAGATGAGCTTGTAGCTGCAAATGATTTCACACCTCTTCCTGCAACTCACCTTGCTTCCCACCTTCCTCAGGTTGCTGACTTGCTTCACAACATCTTTCCTCACTTCCACTCGTATGCACAGATTTCCAAAAGGTGTGATACTGTGACTTTTTTTTTCATGTTGTCTTTTATGGCAGTGACAAAGGAATTTGGTTGAAAATTAAGCCCATGTGGTAACCACGAGGTTTAGAAGCCTAATAAAGAAAACCCATGTAAATAATATGAAAGCTTGCGAACTAGAGATTCTAATTGAGCCATTTACTTCCCCAGAAGCAAATTAGGGAACTCGAGCTATTAAAATCTGTCAGGTCTCTAAGACATCATTTGGGCAATTACTTCAAATTCCAAATAATTTTCTGAGCTTCATTTCTGCATATTACATAATACCCAAGTAGTACCTTAATTCAGAGATTTCTAAACCGTGCTTCCGTCAAACATAGATTTCTGCAACATGGACTAAGATTTAACACTGCCGGAACTGAACAATGTCAGATTTCTTCCATTCAAAAGATGTTCTCTTTTACATTTAATTGCCTCTACTTTACTTTACAAAATAGTACTTTAGTATAGACAACAACATGCTGGTTGAGGTCAGTCCTCCCTCAAGAGGCAGTTAGTTAACATTTGAAGTATTCTCTTCAGAAACCTACATTTCAGGAGAGGTTACTTAGCCTGTTACATTTCCTAACTGGAGACCCCACTGCAGACATGCTTAAAGGCAAAGCTTTGGACGAAGACTGAGCACTTGTGTCGGCGTTGCCAACTGCGAGCAGCAGTCGGCTTCTCCACGTAGAACCCGGGAGGAGGAGACTCAGAATCGAATCTCTTCTCCCTCCTCCCTCCTGTTTTTGGCTTTGTGAGAAACCTTATCATCAAACACAGTGGCCAGCAACGTTACCAACAAGACAGATGCTCGCTCCATGAACTCCCGTGTGTTCGTTGGGAATCTCAGCACTCTCGTGGTCAAGAAATCTGATGTGGAGGCAATCTTTTCGAAGTATGGCAAAATCGTGGGCTGCTCTGTTCATAAGGGCTTTGCCTTCGTTCAATATGTTAATGAGAGAAGTGCCCGGGCTGCTGTAGCGGGAGAGGATGGCAGAATGATTGCTGGCCAGGATTTAGATATTAACCTGGCTGCAGAGCCAAAAGTGAACCGAGAAAGAGCAGGTGTGAAATGATCTGCAGCGGAGATGTACGGCTCCTATTTTGACTTGGACTATGACATTCAACGGGATTATTATGATAGGACGTACAGTTACCCAGCACTTGTACCCCCTCCTCCTCCTGTTGCTCGGGCTGTAGTGCCCTCGAAACGTCCGCGTGTATCAGGAAACACCTCACGAAGGGGCAAAAGTGGCTTCAATTCTAAGAGTGGACAGCGGGGATCTTCCAAGTCTGGAAAGTTGAAAGGAGATGACCTTCAGGCCTTTAAGAAGGAGCTGAGCCAGATAAAACAAAAAGTGGATTCTCTCCTGGAAAACCCGGAAAAAACTGAAAAGGAACAGAGCAAACAAGCAGTAGAGATGAAGAATGATAAGTCAGAAGAGGAGCCGAGCAGCAGCTCCGTGAAGAAAGATGAGACTAATGTGAAGATGGAGTCTGACAGGGGGTGCAGATGACCCTGCTGAGGAGGGGGACCTACTATATGATGATGATCATGAAGATGGAGGATGACCAGCTGGCGTTGATCAAGGATGGCAAAAAGGACGCTGAGGAAGGAGAGGATGACTCTTAAGCACATAGTGGAGTTTAGAAATCTTATCCCATTATGTCTTTACCGAGGCGCTTGTCGAAGATCACATTTTTCACTGGATCCTCTCCCCTAGTATCTTCAGCACATGCTCACTGTTCTCCCCATCCTTGTCCTTCCCACATTCATTAATTCATATTTCCCTGTGCCTAGTCCCATTTTCACTTCCTTTGACCCTCCTAGTAGTTTTGTTAAGTCTTACCCTGTAATTTTTGCTTTTAATTTTGATACCTCTTTATGACTTAACAGTAAAAAGGATGTATGGTTTTTTTTTTTTAAAAAAGGCAAAGCTTTACAATATCACTGTCTATACTTGCCCCAAAAGTTTAATAATTAGCATAAATTGTGAATTAGAGATAATTTTTAATTAATTAAGGAAATAGTAATGTTCAAGAAATACAGTAGGATAATAAGATCAGTATTGGCTCTTCTACCCTTTTGTGAGTGGGCGTGTACCAGAGTTTGACCAGTGAGAGAAACCACTCTAGATATTTCCAGCAGGAAGAGATGTAGCCCAGGGATTTAACGTTTTGTAGACCTACTATTAGGTCTGAGAAAGTGAAGGTCAGAGAAGCTGCTTTGGAGAATTCAGGAAACTGGGAAGTGCTGGGATCAAAAGAAGCTACAGCTGATAATCCACCCTTAGGGAGTGACGAAGAGGGGGACACGTGGAAATCACTCCCAAAATCTCACTGTCTACTGTCTGCAGAAAGGCTTGTCCCTGGCTGCAGGTGTGAATGTGGAATAACAGTTTATCCCTTCTAACTTTTATATTCCACATGGGAGCCTGTTATTGACAGAGTATGACCCAGAACGCCTACTAGTTGATGGAATATAGTTTCCTGGCCTCTAGGTCTAAGTAAAAGGAAGAATTTTAAAGAGAGATGGTTTTGATTGTTAACAAGCACTGTCAGGCTAAGGCCTAAGGATCTGACAAGTCCAGCATTCTTTTAAAGTGTGTCACATCTAGTACACACATCCTCCAGTAGAACTACAGTTACAGAAATGGTCTAATTTACACTGCCCAATATGGCAGCCACTAGTGCCAGATGGCTATTGAGCACTTGAAATGTAGTTGGTGCATGTTGTAGTGAACCCCAAGTTTCTCTTCAAAGAATCAATATATCAGTATGTTCAGCTCTCTTATTCTTTAATTCTCTATTTCAAAGTTTCACATCCTTGTAATTCCAGTAAACAACTTTCTCCACTGGTTTAATTAGTAGTTCACATCTGTTCTCCCAGCCCCCAGCTCTATCCTGACCCATCTCAGTCACCTGCTCCAGTCACTTGCTCCAGTCACCTTCTTTGACCTAGGTCACCTCTGGCTATCTTCCCTGACCCACCTGTAACCATCCTTCCCACCAAAACACCCACCTTGCCACTCCAGCTTGGACCCCTGCTCTCTTTAAAATAGCCAATCAGGATCAGTCTAGCTTGTGTGGTCTAACCCTAGCCAATAGGGGAACAACACAGCAGTAGGGATGACTCCCGTCAGGCGTAATTGCCCCTTCTCCCCTTGTCCAGGCGAGTGGCCACCATTGCTCCATCCGTGAGCCTCGCTCTTCTATGGAAGTAAATTGCCTTGCTGAGAGGATTTATCTTCAAGTGCTGTTTCTTCTGTGGCACCAAAATTTCACTTCTAATAGTGCAACTGAGGGATTGAACTATTGAGTTGTATTTGATCTTATTTATTATTTACTTCAGTTTAAACTTAAAGGGCTACCTGTGGCTGTTGGCTACTGCCTGGGGCAGCGCAGGTTTAGATCTCTCTTTGGACTTGTGCTCCCTCTCCATTTCCATTTAGTTGAAAATATTGTGGCCTGATCTGACCTAAAGTCTCCCTGAGCTGTCTCGTATTTGTTTATTGTGTGTTGAAAATTTCATGTGAGGACCATGTTAGAATGACTATACGATGAAGTTGTGTTGGGGTCGGGGGCAGGCCACTGGATTTCACTGAACTTACTGAATTGGTCTTCTGACTCTTTTTAGTGCCAGCTTACTAATAAACATTTGTTGCGTATTTGGCCAAATTTGGTCTGAAACTCCCTTTCGCCATAACATACAATGGTAGCAAGTGAGTGGGGAGGCCACTGAAGTGTTTGCTATATATCCTAATAATTCTGATAGCCAATGAACCTGATCATATGGTTTGTAACATAGGTTTTTCTCCCAGATATGTTTCACAGATTTTTGGAGTCTGCAGTATCTTTCCTGCTAGCAAATACTAGCAGGCAACAGAACAAAAACTACACAAATATTAACAGAAAAATTCCGATAAGCTAGTTGCCTACCACTGAACAACTTTTTAAAAATGTGAGCATATGTTCATGGCCTATTTTAAAAATTCATACATATACCACAAATTTTCTGTGTATAAAATTGTTCCTAATTTGCATGGTTGAATCTACATTTCAAAGTAATGTGGCTGGGCATGGTGGCTAACGCCTGAAATCACAGCACTTTGGGAGGCCAAGGCAGGCAGATCATAAAGTCAGGAGTTCAGGAACAGCCTGACAAACATGGTAAAATCCCATCTCTACTAAAAATCAGCTGGGCATGGTGGCACGTGCCTATAATCCCAGCTACTCAGGAGGCTGAGGCAGGAGAATCTCTTGAACCCAGGAGGTGGAGGTTTGCAGTGAGCTGAGATCACACCACTTCACTCCAGCCTGAGCAACAGAGCAAGACTCAGTCTCAAGAACGAACGAAAAAACAAAGCAGTGCAATGCAGCCTAGGTTTGGCTGCTTGCTGGTAGAAAGCCAGACAGAACACAAGAGGCAAAGTTTGGTGGGAGGAGAGCCAGTTTAATTGGAGAACCAGCAACCTGAGAAGATGGTAAACTATGGTTCTAAACACGATCTTACGTTTTAAAATTTACCATAGGGCTTTTACAAGAAAACTTGGTATGAGAGACATTCAGGAGCAGTGCAAGGTACACGGTCTGTATATTTCGTTCTTGTTAAATTGAACTAACCATGGCCTGAGAAAACCTCCATACTTCCATACTTGAGTCCTTGAGAATGAACCATAACCTAACTTAGTAGGTAGACAAGTAGGTAGCCTTAGTAGAAAACCTAATTTAGGAGTATGCTTCTGTAACAGTAGCTGGATCTCAGCCAATCCCAGCAGGCATGCTTCAGCAACTCATGCTGCTGACTGTTCAAACCGTGTTCAGATAAGTCAAATGCCAAGCTGTAACCAATCCAGCTGTTTCTGTACCTTACTTCTGTTTTCTGTACGTCACTTTCCTTTTTTTTTTTTTTTTTTTTGCCTATAAATTTGCTCTGGCCATAAGATTTCCCTGGAGTCTCCGTGAATCTGCTGTGATTCTAGAGGCTGCCTGATTTGTGATTTTTTTTTTTTTACCCTTGCTAAATTAAACTCTGTTAAATTTAATTTGTCTCAAGTTTTATTTTAACATTCTGATGGCCATCTTGGGTAATTGCCTGTCCAGAAGTCTGACTGGCATTATCTTGTCTTCGATGGTGGTGGACTAATGGGGGACTCTCCCTAAGTGAGAGGATTCCACAATGGGGCTCCAGCCTGGTTTGTTTCAAGAGCAAGAACATAATTAGATAAGTGTACATTGTTGGAGGGGAGTGTCTAGAGAGGGAAGAAATAAAGGGGTGAGAGGGGAGAGAAGGAGGAAAAAGAAAGTGGGTGATTTTGAAAACTGAGGTCCCTGGTTATAGTATCACAAAAACAGTCCAGAATTCCACTAAAGACCCTGGCTGCCAAATGTTCTGCCCCTTAGAGAGCCCCTGGCCTAAGTGTTCCATATGTAAGCTCCTTTCTATTTAGTGTCCCAAAGTGACTAGCATAAGGCTGGGCCAAACTAGGTGTTTTCATGACTTCATGGCACATATTTTTTTACCTGTAATGAAAAGAATGTTAGCAAATAAAACTGTTTTTCATTTATTTGTCTGTCAGGTAAAGAGGAAACTACTGATGAGTTAAATCAGAAGTCCCAGCCTTTTTTGCACCAGAGACCAGATTCATGGAAGACAATTTTTCCATGGACTGGGTGGAGGGGGATATTTTTAGGATGATTCAAGCACATTACATTTAGTGTGTACTTTATTTCTGTTATTATTACATTGTGACATATAATGAGATAATTATATGACTCACCATAATGTAGACTCAGTGGGAGCCCTGGGCCTGTTTTCCTGCAACTAGACAGTCCCATCTGAGAGTGATGGGAGACAGTAACAGATTACCAGGCATTAGATATTATGAGATAAGGCATGAACAACCCAGATCCCTTGCATGTGTGGTTCACGATAGGGTTCATGCTCCTATAAGAATCTAATGCTAGGTCGGTCATGGTGGCTCACACCTGTCATCCCAGCACTTTGGGAAGTTGAGGTGGGTGGATCACCTGTGGTCAGGAGTTTGAGATCAGTCTGGCCAACATGGTGAAACCCCATCTCTACTAAAAAATACAAAAATTAGCTGAGTCCATTCACGGGAACCTGGGAGGCAGAGGTTGCAGTGGGCTGAGATTGCACCACTGCACTCCAGCCTGGGTGACAGAGCAAGACTCCATCTCAAACAAACAAAAAAAAAGAGAATCTAATTCCACCACTGATCTGACAGGAGGTGGAGCTCAGGTGGTAATGTGAGCAATGAGGAGCGGCTGTAAATACAGATGAAACTTCACTTGCTTGACTGCTGCTCAGCTCCTGCTCTATGGCCCAGTTCCTAGCAGACCACGGACCTTTACTGGTTCATGGCTCAGGGGTTGGCGCCCCCTGGCTTAAATGTTAGTATTTTTCATTTTCTTACACTTATATACTTTTTGTCCAAATGCCTTTCTGCATTTGTCATCCTTTAAAAAAATTGCTCACAAGAACTTATCAGAAAGTGGTGTTACCTACTAAGACGTGAGTATCACAGAGAAGATATGCCATTGTTTATTAAACATTCATGGAATTCAGTTTGCATTCTCATTGATAATTTCTTTACTTGATAGTGCCTAAAA